ATTTTTAGATAGAAAGGAAAGGAGAAGGAGCGTGAGATAGAACATCAATGTGTGAGAGAAGCATTGATTGGCCGCCTCCTGCATGCCCCCTACTAGGGATCCAGCCCACAACCCAGCATGTGCCCTGACCAGGAATCGAACTGGCCGCCTTTCGGTGCATGGACCGATACTCAACCATCTGAGCCACACCACTGAGCCACACTAGCCGGGCTACAACCAGACTGTTTCAAGTGGAGAATTGAGGACCAAATGTGCAGGTGTATCCTGCTTCAGAGGAAAAATAACAACAAAAACAAAAACAACAACAAGCAGTTCAATTTCAATACTACTCACAGCATTTCTCATTTCACAGGCAAGTGAAGAGCTTTAATATTAGAGACCTACACATTTCCCCGAACACTGCATAGATTGGAGGTTTATGATATCGGCAAAGATATGCAATAAAGTCCTTTGGGCTTTTTTTATTCCAGGTTTCATTTTTTTATTATGAAAATGACACATTCACAGGATTGAAAAAATAAAAAAATAAAAGCAATCTTCTACCACCCCAGATTCTGAGCTGCCAACTACTTTATATTTCCTCAGAAAATCCAATGCGTAGACAACTCTCTGTGTGACCGCTTTCTTTGCATGATGAAGATATATGACATAATGAAGAGAGTTCTGTACTTTGGTTTTCACTAAGAATTGTATCTGAGAGACTTTACTACGGCTTCCTACGTGGAGAAGCCTCATTGCTTTAAGAAGCGGCACAGTGTTCCAGCCTAGGGATGAGCGGTCCTTGACACACTGCTCACCAAGGGTGCGTGTGATGGACAACCTTGCGTGCAATCTTTGTGCGCATTTGGAATTGTTTTTTAGATAGTCTAAATTTGTAATTAGTGAAGAAAGAGTCTATATTTTTAAATATTGATAGGTCATTTCAAACTCTCCTTCACAAAGATTGCACCAGTTTGCAACCGCATCAGCCAAGTCTGGGACAGTCCCCACGGGCTCCTTCCAGCTCTGTGCACTCACGCACTCCGGTCTTGATCTGGACATCTCCTTAGATGCCCTTTATCACGTGCATTTTCCCCTGTATCTCCACGTTAAAACTCTGCTGAGCTTTCTAATGGGTTGCTGATTTTTTGCTTATATATTTTAAGAGAGGAAGGGGTTGAGGGGCTGGGTGAAAAAAGGTGAAAGGATTAAGCAAAAACCCACCTAGATACAAACAACAGTATGGCCATCGCCAGAGGGAAAGGGGGTGGGGAGTTAGAAGAGGGTAAAGGAGGTGGTAAACGCATAATACAATATACAGATGATGTATTATAGAACTGTACACCTGAAACCTATGTAATTGTATTAACCATTGTCACCCCAATAAATTCAGTAAAAAAACTAAAAAAACAAGAGAGTTATATATTTAACCCTTTGACTTATATATGTGCACATATATAATCGAGAGTTTTTGTTTGTTTGTTTTAGGTTTTGGTTTTATTTTGCAGGGGATGGTCTGTATCTTGGCTATTTGGATATTTAAATTTAATAATGCTTTCTTATAAGATTTCTCAATTTTGTCTTCATTAAAAAGGCTTTGTTCACCACTGAAACCAACCAACTGATGAATTTTTCTCCTAATGATGATGGTGATCATGACATTGAGCCCTAACATGTAGAATTTATTTTATTTTAAAGAATGAGATAGAATTCAGCTGCCTACCTTGTAGGTTGAAAAATCATCTTTATCACATTGTAAAATGCTTTAAGGTGTTTGAGGATTTCTGGGTCTTAATTTTAATCCCTTAATCTGTGTTTTATCCTCTGCTAAGATAAAACTCTTTTAACTTCTTTAGTTTTATAATATGTTTATAAAGAGCCAGGCTTCCCTCATTATACTACTACTTCAGAATTCTCTCAGCTATTTTCACAATTATTTTTCATATAATGTTGCTGGACTTAAGAACTTATTTATAAACAACAAATGTTTAAAAAATATTGTTTTTGTCTCCAATAACAAGATGTGTCTTTCCATTTACTAAAGTCATTGTATTTTTTTTTGTCTCTGAGTAAAATTTAATATTTTTCTTCTAAATTTCCTGTTAACTTTATGATTACATATTTTCTTTTACACTGTTTGTTTAAATGGTATCTGTTATTCCATTATAATTTGAATTGGCTATCAGTACTTAGAAAAGTTAAGTGGTTATGTAAATCTTTTATCTGCCATTTTTCTGGATTCTCTTGATGGTTTTCAAATTTTTCCTTTGAAACAGAAGTTTTCCATATATAAAAATATCACACTATTTGTCAAAAATGATCATTTTCCATTTTCTTCACAATTTTTACATCTTTTGAATTGGTTTTATATAATTGTACTGGTCAGTATGTTGAGAAAAATACCAAATAATACTGACATCTGTGAGCATCTTTGACTTTTTCCTAACTTTAATGGTAATGCATCATCTGGATGCTGGCTTTCTTGTAAAGTTTTGGGTGAAAATGAGAGACAACCAAACGGTGTGTTATATTCCTCTCTGTCCATGAATCTCAGGAGGACTGTGTGTAGCTTGTAGCCACCAAGTCTTCCCTAGGCTCTCACTGTCCCAGCCGGAATTTGAATGAAAATGTCATATATTTCCATTTACAGTTGTTTTGAGAGGTATTTTTTCAAATTTGGTTTATACAATATTAATTAAATTTTTGTGGAAAAAGTACAATGTTTTATAGAATGTAAATATACAATGTTTCTCATATATATATATATATATATATATATATATATATATATGAAGCTGGCAGATCCTCAATAGCAGAGCAGCTTCATTTTTATTTATTTATTTATTTATTTTAATCTTCACCGGAGGATACTTTTTTATCTATCTTCAGACAGAGTAGGAGGGAGGAAGGGAGAGAGAGAGAGAGAGAGAGAGAGATCGAGGAGAGAGAGAAACATCGATGTGAGAGGGACACATCGACGTGAGCGGGACACATCGACAGGTGCCTGTCTTACGACCTGGCCCAGGGCCGGACAAACCACAACCAAGGTACCCATGACTCATTTGTCCTCAGGCTGTCGCTCTACCACTGAGCCAAACCAGCCTAGGCTTTTTATTTTTATTTAAAAGAACATTTTTTTTCTTTATTAATTTTTAGAAAAAGAGGAAGGGAGAGGGACAGAGAGACAGAAACATGGATGAGAGAGAACATCGATTGGCCACCTCCTGCATGCCCTCCACTGGGGATCAGGCCCACAACCTGGGCATGTGCCCTGATGGGAATCAAACCAGCGACCTCTTGGTGCATGGGTCGACGCTCAACCAGTGAGCTACATGGGCTGGGCAAGCAGTTTCATTTTTATTTCTGGTCTTCCTATATTGGCATTGTCATCAGTGTAGTCAAGGCAAACCTAAATATGTGAGTGATTCTCATTTTAGCTATTATGATTTCCTTCTTTTTCTTCTTACCATTAAAATTTCTGTGTTTAAAATCTTTACAAACAAATGAACTAAAACAAATAAAACTCAATTCACTTGAGATTTTGAAGACATCTGGTATAGTTATTTTCTGAGCAATCAGACCAAGAGGTGGGACAGTTCCCTAAAGTCAGCTACCAAACAGTTGGCTTCTCAGTCACTTCTGCAGTCGTTAGTTTGTTTGCAATGAGCACATTGAATCACAGATTGATGAGCAGTTAGGTCGAGCTGCCACCTGATTTTCTCAGACCATTTGTGTTATAAAAATATATGGCTTATATGCATTTTAGAAAGATGCCTCTTCTCAGCCCTCCCACAGTCTGTTCTGTCTCCTTATGTCCCATAACTTCAATATGTTGTTTGAGACATTGAAGGCAGACCTCTCTCGAGTGCTGGTCTTTGCCTGTCCTTGGGTAATCCCACATTTGGATACAAATATGATTAATTAAAATTAAAATTTTGAAAATATGTATGCATTTTGCTATGTAGAGATATTTAAGCATGAAAATGAAGATATTTAAATGCTTCAATTTTTGTCTTATATGTTACTATTTAGCTTGGAAATATTGATCAGTGAAGTCTTAATATTTAAAATATATATCTTCATTTTATAAAATCATAGATCTGGAAGCAATCTGAAAGTTCAAATTGTTATGCTCCCTGCTACAAAACAAAAACACTCAAACTACTGTAGAAAGATGTATATTTTTCTAATTTAAAATAACTCTCGGAGATTCCACAATCATCTTAACTTACCCACTGTGGAGTCAAGAATTGCTGTCAAGAAAGTTTCCTTTATAGCCAACCTAGATTTCACAGGTTATGTAAACTTACGCCATCCTCTCTATGCTTTTAGCATTACCGTCAGGGATGACATTTAAGAGCCACAGAGTCAGGGGTTTCCACCAGGCCAGGATGCGTCCACACCGTGTGGCAGGACTCACCAATTCTCCTCTCCCCGAACCCCACCCCCTCACTCTTTGCAATCACCCTCAATCTAACTGTAGCTAAGTTATGTAATTGGGATTTGTTTTTTTTTTTTCCAATGTAAGTTAAGGATACGGGATATTTTGAATCTATAACATTTACAAACTGTTCTAAAAAACTATAAGGAGAAATTATACATGTGAATTAACATGGGAGAGTCATGTAAATGAGTATAATTTATCCTTTGTTGAACATGTTCCCCAATCTCAGGATATTTAGACCTGACGCCAGACTTGACTCAGAAGTAAAATTTATGGGCATCTTTCACTATGACATTTACCATTTCTTCAGTCTATGAATTCTCATTACTTATCTTCTTAGCATGACCATGTTTTAGTTCCACGTAGTCCAACGGGAATCGAGTCAAGATTTATTGATCATATTTTACTTGGCAATGCATAGAAGGAGACCACCAAATATTAACCAAACTGATTCAAAACTATTGGCCACAGAATAATAACTCCACTTTCAATTTCACTGATTGAAAAAGCAGTATGACAACAAGCTAAAATAGTAAGTGAATCCTAGGTCATAGTCTAAATGCAATGGCTGACTTACCCGAGGTTTCGTCTACTCTCTCATCTACTATGTGGTCCTTCTGATGAACCCATTCACTATTGCACTTGAAGTAGATCTGGGTGGCGGGGCTGGCTTTACAATACAGGTTTACAGGCTTATTCTTCACAATATAAGCTTCTTCCGGCTCGATAAGGAAATGTGGCAGAGGTTCTGGTGGATCAGATGGAAACGTTTCTGGCAGTTCATGAAAAAAGTCGTCGTCTGGTAGAACAAGAAAAAAATGGAAAACATTCAAAACATGGTAACCGCTTGCCTTTTACTTGCTACTCATTTAAAAATAATGCCTCATAATATAATTAAACAATTTGAATGCTGCTGTGCACTAGGTAGTATGTTAGGTCTATTGACTGGTTGTTCAATTAAGGATTTTAGATTATTATTTTTATGCATGGCAAAAGTCAACATCAGGGGGAATAAATATCATGCCCTGAGCACACAGGTAGAAAAACAGAACTGTAATCAGAACTCAAGTTTTTCTTCCTCAATGTCTGTGATCTTCCAGATATAGTTCGTACTACACCTCCCACTACACAGTGGTACCCTTGAGAGCCGACCAAAGAAAAATCAACTTCATTTGAAAAATTTGTTTGAAAAGTAGAAGGTTCACAGGTAAATCTTTGCAAAGATCTGAGAAGAAATACTAGAAACATGAATTAAGGATCAAATCTATCATTATTTTAAAAAATTCTAGCACATGAAATATACATTCACTTAACCAAAAATATTTTTTGAGTTCAGAATTATGCTAAGTGCTAGAAATAGAGATTATAACTTCAAGGTGGGCAACAGCAGAGCCACAATAGAGCTTGAAATCTAGCAACGTCATTCAATCTTATTTTGAAACTATATCTCAAATGTCATATGTATTATATGAGTAGTCAAACCCATTCTCATAATATTACTAAATATTGTCATGAAGAACAATAGTCTCATTTTTTAAAAACATTTTTTCTTTATTAATTTTAGAGAGAGAAGAAGGAAGAGAGAGATAGAAACATTGATGAGACAGAACATCGATTGGCCGCCTCCTGCATGCCCCCCACTGGGGATCAGGCCCAACACCTGGGCATGTGCCCTGACCAGGAATCAAACCGGCAACCTCTTGGTGCATAGGTTGACGCTCAAGCACTGAACCACATTGGCTGGGCAATAGTCTCATTTTTTACATCACTGAAAATTATCAAATATATGGCTGTCACCTGCTATTTCAACACCAATGAATAAACAACGTAAAAACTGCTTGAGATATTTGCACACTTTAGGGCATGTTTTCTTTTAACTTGGGTTATGCATAATTACAAGTTAAAAAATAGAAAATAATAAAAGTGCTTTTAAAAATCCCATTATCATATTTCACAGGTCAAAGTTAAAATATAGCCTTCTAATACACTATACATAAGTCAATCTTGAAGTTGATTAAGCACCCTAGGATAATATGTAAATTGAAAACTCTAGGGTCAAAATGAAAAGATTTTACAGTAGCAAACATAGGGTCTAGTATTGACAGTTAAAAGACTGATTGCTCAGATGTTACCTTGAAACTCATTTCATCACTCATTCAGTTGTTGCCCTGCTTTGGGAGACAGCCATTGGCTACGTGGACATTTGTCCACTAAGAACCTGGCCTGGGCGTTTTTCATGAAGGCCGTGGACTAACTATCGGACAGCAATGCCATCCGGTCTTTGCCAATTTGCTTTGCAGTGAAAATTGGCTTCATTTGCACCACAGACCAAACTTGCTGTCAAAGTTGCTCTGCAATGATCAGTTCCAGACACTGGAGGTAAATGATGGTTCCTCCAGCTAGTTTTCTTTCTCACTTTATTTTTAAAATTCACTTTCTTTAGGCAGAGCCTCATTTCTGGTTTTCCTATTGTTAAACCACAGGACACAAACCATCAGGTTACTGGAGGATAACTTTGTTCCCATCGATTTCATCTTCCTTAGTCAATATGCAAGGACACTCACAACTGCTTCAATAAGCACGTGTGCAGAGAAGCAGAGGAATGGGGATCGAGGTGCGAGAGCCATCAGCGTGGAGCTGACGTCTTGAAGGCATTATTCAACTCTTTCTTGTTTTTTGTTTTGAAGTACTCCTGTTTCATATAATGACAGGCAGTGGTGATAATCAATAAAACTTCATGAAATATCAGATTCAAATGCTGTAAAGTGTTAGTTATTATTTTTAATGATTGTTATTCATGAAGGCAGAGGGTCAATTAGACTTTTTTTTTTTACTATTGGCATATATTCATTTTTTTTTTTTTACTATTGGCGTATATTCATACACAAGGACTTACGTATAACTTTCATAACAATACATACATTTAGGTGTGCAGAATATAAAAAGCCTTTCAAGTCACTGATTTAGAAGGTGAGACTTGTTTCTTCAAAAGGAATGATGCTTGTGAGACACCAGAAGGTTGTATATTTCCTTACCTTATTCAATAATGTAGCAGAGAGGTTTTACATTTACATTCTGCAGAAGGATAGAGAGGCACTAAACATTGATTACCCGGCCTTGCACGTATTTCTTTCTTCTGATTATTTTAGTGTAAGCTGCTGGGAAGCCTAATGGAAGCTGGGGAAGTTACACATATGTTTTCAAGTCAAAAGGGACTCTGTTAAGTGCTGGGAAAAAAATAGTAATGATTCAATATTGTATTTTTTAAAAAATGTATAGACAAACTAACTTTGTATTTCCTTCATTTTGGTTTTTAAACCAAGAGGGTCACCACAAATAAAGAGAAATAAGTCTATGCCTTCGTTTCAAGCTTCATAAAGTGTTGATTTTTCAAGACGTTTGTTTAAAAACATTTAACGTGAAAGTTATTAAGGAATTATTTTTATCATTTGAAATGTTTTCATTGTGTGGTAAATCCAGTGTTTCTTTTATATATCACTCCAGCTCTGTATGAACCCATGTCTTAAATTTTATCTAGAGAGATGCCTTAACTAACCACAGCACATCAACTTATTAATATTTCTCATAATATGCACACACTATATTTAAGCCTATGCTCTAGATGAATTCACATTAGGCAATATGGCACATCACTTCTAGTACTAAAGTCAGGTGTTGGAAATGACATTTATTTTGAAGGTAATTTTCAACCCTGTTTCAGTAAGATATATGTGGTGGGATGGATACAACAAAGTGAAATTCCTCACTTCTTCCTTCACAACAGTGAGCCTAAGTTCCATGCCCCCCATGGACACCCGCCCAGGCGACTGTTCCCCAACCATCAGGCTGAGCCTGCTAAGAGAACACTCTCCTTGCTCTAGAAAAAAATGCTAGGTGTCAACATTAATGTTCAGATATAATGGTGTTTCAGATATATCGCCTTTTTATGTAACGTCATCTGGATATTTTTTCACAGGGTAAGTTTTAAAAATTAAACAAGCAAGGCAATTCTCCTCAACCAAAAGTAGAAAGGAAAACTTCTGTGTATTTAAGCACCCAGCATGGTTACATCTATATGTATTTAATAAGGGGAAAAAAAAATGATCCTCTCCAAATACCATGTATTTTTAGCAAGAAAAAGAGGATCACGTACAGATACCTCTCCATGAACATTTCGTTCCTCTGCATTGGCCTCACACACATGTGTGGAAGAATCTACTTTTCAGTTTTGGCAACCAGTTTTATGCAACTACTCCCAAGTCTCAAAAGCCGGGAATACATAACAGCAAATGCTTAACACTAGAAAACAATGCTCTTTGAAGGCAGGGACTATGTTGTTTTCATGTTTACATTCCACAAGTCTAGCACAGTGCCAGGCACATGGGAGGTCAATACAAATCTTATAGAAGCACAAATATTATACTGGCAACTTTGATCATTCCTAAAAGATTCCCCGAGTTATTTCAGAGTTTAGAGTGCCTCAAATTCAGTTACAAATATAAGGGGTTGTAACAATGATATCTACAATCTGTACTGGCTACAAAATTTGTGTGGCCTAGTGCAGAATGAAAATCTGGGGAATCCTTGTTAAAAACGCATTAAGAACTCAGGGATGGTGACAGCAGGGCACTGAACCAAGTGCAGGTCCTGTGTGACAAGACGGCTCACACAGCCAGGAAGCTGGCCTGTCCACGGATGTCAGTGAACGGAGCACTGCACTTTGGGGAGAGTCTGAGAAATAAAATGACATCTTTATTAGTGAATGTTCATTTTGGAATACATTTGGTGTTTCCCAGCTTCTTATGGTGATTAGATGTTTCCTGGGAAAAGACATGGCTTTTTGAACTATGAAACGGAGAACCCAGTGAGATCTCTGAGCCCGTGTGTCCGCAGTGGTGTGCACGTGAAAGTGTGTGCTTTTTATCTTGTCGTGGCTTCCCTTTTGGATGCACCCCGGTGTCCATCCTTGGGCCTGACCCAGAACAAGGAAATCCCTGTCACCTGGAGGGTTGTGCTTTCAGGTCACTAGGGGACTGTTGAACACATGGGATAATAAGGTTGGAGAGTCTTTTTTGAGCTGGTAGACTGTTCACTGAGATCAGTTCCCAGCATTTTACAGCAATGCATTTTACTGCACAAGTAAGCCAGCTTTCTGATACTATTATGGTCATGCTAAAAACGGAAGCTATAAAAGAACAATTTAATTTTTCAGTAGTGAGATCATTGAGTGCATCCTGTTGCCACTTTATTTTTTAATAAAAATATCTGAAGAGTCTCCTGAAGTCTTCAGGATGATCATAAAAACTCAGAGTATGAACAGTAACTTCAGACTGTGAACTCATTTCTGGTAACATGTCACAGTTATTCCAAATTCTTATATGTTGTACAAAGGCACATCCCAAATGCTGATATTGACTTCACTATGCTACTTGGGCAAAAATGATTGGTTAATTGCATTGCTAAATACGGTTTCTATGTGAAGTTCATTCCAGTTAACAAAATAAAATTTCCAGAGTTGGTTTTATTTTGTACATTGAATTTAATATTAACCTCAAGCCTTTCTGAATTAGATAGAACACTATTATTCATGTTACTCTCCTCTAAGACTTGACTTAATTTTCTTCTTTCTACCATTACTCAATAATGATATTGTCATTTTTATCTAGAAATCAGGTAAATCTCAGTATTTCCTTTCTCTGTTATCTCATGTAGCCTTTTGTTTTTTCGTCTATATATAAGAAAAGAAATCTTTGCACCATGTATTATTTTTATAGACTTTCATTCCACCTAATTCTTGAC